ATAGCTTTAATGTAAACAGCTTGTTTAATCTCCCCACAGTATTACCTGCTCACAAGGCCAGAAGCACATCATACTTCATACCTGAGCAAACGATTAAATATGGGGGTGTCATAACTCATTAACAATCATACATTTTACTGTTCTATTGTAGCATTGGACGGTATGAATTTCTCAGTGTTGAGAAAGAATTCAATGCAATTTTTTAAGTTTTTTTGTTTTGTTTTTTTGTTTACATTTGAAGGCATTTATTGATATAGGCCGGCAACCAAAGTGCTGACTCTAATGTTGTTTGGATTACATTCAGTTTAATTCATGTTTTTTTAATTTCCTAAAGTATTGTTTTAAAAAACTTAAACTTGCCTCATAAAACACTCTTTGTGTTTTCCTCACAATTTTGTATCATGATTCAAAAGGTTAAACGGTGATGCGAGCTTTAATCCAGATTCTTAATGAAACTGAGATAAGCAAATGTGTTAGAAAGAGCCTTGTGGTTCCAGAACCAGTATTTCCCAATTTATCCCTAATGAATACTAAAGTTGTCAGCAATTGCCCAATAATTCCTTAAACAACAGCCTCACATGTTTGATAAGATTAAGGATTGAAAAGCTACTCCCTGCATCAATTGGGGTTAAACATTTTGCAGCCAGCTGGTAATATCCTCTGTACTTTTCCAGTAGGAGGAACTCAAGCTTTTGGTTATTTTTTTCCGCCACGGGGAACAAAAGTATTTGTGTTTTTAAAATTGTTTTCAATCTGAGATTAATTTATGCAACAAATAAAATGTCTGATAAATAGCATCAGTTTTAGCAAGGCTTATTTTATCTGTTAACAGATGATGTCTGTAGCAGGCTGTGTAATCATTAACATGTGCTTTAACACCAGATGTTACTGGTCTGATACAGAGGATCATAGTGCACACAGTCAGTGGTGTAAATGACTGACTGCCTCCACATGACATAATATAAGAGTGCACGTATTCAGCCAGTTTACACATTAAGGCTCAAGCTTTATGCCTGGTTTGTAAGGACATATTTTTAGGTCTGCGTAAAAGCTTGAAAAGTTAAAGGCTCTTAAAGTTATGTAACATATTTTAAAAGTTTTGAAAGAAAAAACACAAGAAAGAGAATAAACTAATAAACCATTTAATAAATTCTGAATATGTACAATTATTCAAAATAATAGATTGAAGTCAGCCACATGGTATTTTTGTAATGGTTCTACCTTTCTGAAAAAGGACTGAGATCGTGTTCTACCCTTGAGTAAAGTTTTCCTGATATCATGCTGTAAATCATGAGTGCCGAAGCACACCGTCCGCATTCTAAATAATCAACAAAAAATATTTATTAACATTTCAGCAATTAGAAACTTGTTATATCAGTTAAATTGCTTAATGCATGCAGGATTTTCTCAAGCTCATCTTTTGGGATGAGCTTCAAGTGTTGCCTCACTGCTATCTTCCTAGACTATATTTTAGCCCCAAGCATACATTTTCTCAGACTTAGATAAACACTCTTGCCTAAATCTGTAGTTTGTCATAGTTTGGGCTTAACTTTATGTGCTTGAGTGTGTTTTTATAAACTTGTAAAGAATTATATAATTCACTTTTGCTTGTTTGTTTCAACCTTTCTAACATATTGTTGTTGATCATTTATTTCGAACACTTAATAAAAAGCAAATATAAGTAAATTAATAAAGTCATAACAAAACAAAACAAAAAAGAAGAAAAAGAAAAAAAACATATGTACATACCATCATGTTCGAAAAGGAGTAGGAAGAAGTAATAAAACTTATTAAATCCTACCCCTGTTCTATATTAACATCTACCTATGTTTAAGCATACATACATATCTATATATATATATATATATATATATATATATATATATACACACACACATATATATATATACATACACATACTCATAGATATCTATACATATATATACACACATACATACTTACACATACACCCGTATCTCAAACACATGCACACATACATGCATATACATACACACCCACATAACTATAGACAGTATACACATATCTCTATCTACATATACGTACACATATATCCATACATATCCATATACGGTACCAAAAACCCTTATCTCTCACACTTTTTTTTTTTTTTTCATATTGTGTGGCATCCAATGCAACAATAATTAATTAGTATATGACTCTTTTTTTTCTATCAATTTAAAATATATAAAGAGGGTTTTATAATACATTATTTATTCTTTTTTTGGCTTTAAAAATTTTTTTTGAACATCTTTCTAACTGCTCTACAGCACCCCCATGTGGATGACTACACTTATTTTTGTCACAGCCTTGGTTCTCAACAATTTATACTTTCTTTGTTTGAATACGAGTTCCATCTGTAAAAGCAAAATATGGTAAAGCAAACACTGGAAGACAAAATTAACAAAATTCCCCAAGAAAAAAAATGTCTATATGGGCACACCAATTCAAAAAACAAACTGGGGTTGATACAAGTTGTGGTTCCAGATGGAAGTAGAAACTTTTTTCTACTGATCTTTCATACAGAGAATTTCTCTTAGCATGAAGAATGTCACCTTTTTATTACAGTATAATAAAATGTGCATATTTGAAAGATGCCTTCTTAATATGGCTGATATCACCTGCAAATCAGCAGTGGCTCACACTTTAGGATTCCTCATTCTCCTGCATTACATACAGTACAGTATGCTAAGATGAAATCAGGTTGGTATTTAAGTTAAGGGGATCTGAGTCGATTCTTGAACTGCAGAAACAAATTTGTTTGCAATGCAACAACCACTTTACTGCTATTTCTGAAAGTATACGATTCAATGGTTTCTTGTTAAATGGGAATGTGTTGGTTTCCTGATGGACTTCATGACTGAATATGAATGAAGCTGCTGTGATGGTTGTGTCTATGTGGAAGGATAGGATTTTGGTCATCTTATATCAATTCCAAACTAAAATCACTGAAAGGTTTCCCAAAGCCGTTAGCATATAGCTGATACAGGTTGATACAGATTGTTTTTGATTAAGAAAAATGTATTCTTTTAAATTAAAAGGCTTTTTTATGTATGTGTCATGTTCTTTTTAAGGGATCTGACCCACATGCAGGAAACCACTCAGAGAACCAGAGAAAAGGTTTAGCAGGTTTATTGAAAGCACGATGAGTTGGATCCAGAGTTTCTCAGAACGCTGGTGAACCGGAACTGGAAGTGAGAAGGGAAGTTCAGTGTTTAGTTCAGGCTCAGTGGGAAACTTGAGGGACGACTTGCAAAAACAGAGACTGAAACGGGACTCACGTTTCCAAGGAAAAGGTGTCCTTCCCAGAATCCAGTTGGTATGGGTTATTCCAGAACTTGGTTGGCTCGTTGGAGGGCGGACAGGGTTTACTCGGGTTTGGTTGGTTCAGAGGAGCGATGGAGCTGACTGCCACTTCAATTTCCTGAAGTACTTGAACGGTTCGTGTGGAAATTTGTCCCCTGCTCTGTGTGAAGCTCAAACAATCCTTTCAGGGGGAGAAGGTCCAAACATCCAGTTTGCATCCCCTGCTCAGTAAGAAGCTCAAACGATCCTTCCAGGGGGAGAGGGCCAAAACATCCAGTTTGCAGGATGACTACCTGCCGAGAGGCAAAGACAAAAACAATAAGGTTAGGGCTCAGGAAGACAAAGACTCAGTTAGACTCTGCTAAACTCAGCTTGGCTAGATTACCCAAAACTTGCAAACACTCTGGCGTCGAGGTAGTGGCAGTCAGCAGGTTAAGAGTCCTCAGATAATGAGGCAACCATCCGCAGGTGTGTGGAAGGGCCTACGAGAACATGGCGCCACCTGGTAGTGGAAGGAGAAAACGCAAACACATAATCCACACAAACTGGATTCCTAACAGTATGTCTAAATGGATTTGTATGTTTTTTGTCACCTGGGAAAGGCAAAGGTTTCACCAACGGAAGCAAATTAACTCCTCCAATGGAAATAATGAGATAAAACACAATTCAATTAATTTCTGTTTATTTAGACAGTATGCAGTCAATTACATTACCACAATGTAATAATGTAGTAGGTTTTCCTGGAAACCTGTAAATTCAATAACACTGTGCCTCTTCTTATCTTAAGGCTACAGTTTTTCTTTGTCTAATGATTACAAAACGCAAGCTGTCAAAATACCAATTTGCCTTTGTAATGTTAATGTTTCTCTTTGTTGATTGCAACAAACTCTGGGAGTCCTCCTGTTCTGTTGCTCTTTAGAAAACCAGTAGGCTCAAAGGTAAATGATAGGCTTGATGAACTTCCTTCTGTCTTTTCCTCGCTGTCTTTATATGAACTCTGTACCAGCTGAGTGAATAGCCCAGAGGGAGGACAGTATCTTCTGTTTTTCTGTCAGTCATTAAAAACGGCAAGGCTAAATTTTAAAGTGTTCTCATAAATCATAACCAGCTTGAAAGATAACCCTACATATATGGTGAAATCTGTCACTTTCTGATATGAACAAAAAGTTATGTATTAAAACCAATTTTTAGAATACATAACACACAGTCTGGGGGATTAAATACTTATTAAGATAAAATCAAGGGCTAAATTCCTGTAAATGTGAAGAAAATATGGATATTATGAGTGAAATTAAAATAATCAGGTAGCATTTACCTGTTAAACTGATCTTTTTTTGTTCACCTTAAAATAAACAAAGCCTCCAAGCTAAATATTGCACAATACAGTAAAGCAAATGCCGTAAGTTTTTCACAGTAACAATAAATTGATTTTACAATGCTTCCATGATGATGTAACAGTGAATTACAATAGGCTATGATTGGCTACTTATGAACAGCTGTATGTTTGTGAGGTGGGTTAATAATTGGAAGATTTACAGTGATGGGTTAGAGTTTGGCAGATATCTGTTCAGAAAGAAGTAAAAATCACACTCCTTCAAAGAGGAGGGAGGGATTGATTTTTTTTTTCTTGAAACACAAAAAAGCTTCAGAAAATCCTCAATCTGAGCTCTTTCATTCCTGCTTCCTTACTGTAGGCTAATCATGCTCTCAGAGCCCTCTGCAGCAAATAAAGTTGCTGATTATGAAGCGGACACTTCCTTCCTTGGAGAATGGGGACGTTTCCAGCAGCGCGTCTTTTTCCTCCTGTGCCTGATTGTCATCCCTAATGGATTGACTGGTCTCTCCATCGTTTTTTGGGCGGACACGCCGGCGCACCGCTGCATGCTGACTGCGCACCTGAACCTCAGCGCCGCATGGAGAAACAGCAGCATCCCGCTGGAGGAGGATGCGAGCCGCGGCGGGGATCTGGTGCCCAGCAAATGTTTCAGATACAAATTGGAGAATTTGATGAATTATTCGGAAACAGGTTTGCTACCTGGAGTGGACGTTAATCTGTCTAATGTGCCGAAAGAAGGCTGCTTGGACGGATGGGAGTTTGACCACAGCGTGTATACATCTACTATTGTGACTGAGGTTGGTTTACCTTAAAACCTTCTGGTTAATATTATCACCTTATCCATTTGATAAGGTCATGTATGAAGTATTAAAACCATTTTTGTTATGGTAAAAAAAAAAAGATAAATTAAAAAACTAACAAAAGTAAAAATGCTTTGGGTACCTATATGGAGGGCAAGGAGTGTCAAAAATCAATAATTAAATAACTTAATAATAAAACTGTCAAAAAAATTTTTGAAAGTGGAAATAAGATGTTAGTAGTATATTTATTTAATACATATACAATACTTATTAAATAAATATTGTAATTTGAAATTATGCTGTCTAATTATTTAGAAAATTTTAATTTTATTTAGCAAATATAAATTCCTGATTTAATAAATGAATTCACAATCCTGCACCGAAGCACAGATGACATCATATAAACTGTCACACATCCATCAAAGACAAAGAGGCAGGACTAGGTCTGCTTCCCTAGAAACCCTGATGTGATTGGCTGCTTCTCACATCCATCAAAGCCAAAGAGGCGGGACCAAGGCTGTTTGCTAAGATGGGTAGCTCGGTCAGCAAGGACCTAAGGAAGAGCTGCTGCAGCGCCCACCGCTCAGAATGCTTTTTCATTTTTGAGTTATGGACAGTACTTTGCTGGCAGACCACGAAAACGAAAAAGCAATGTCCGCTGTGTGTTCTCTTTGATTATGGCATAAAATGTGCAGTCTTAAAGAAGAAAATGAAAATACAAATTGGATGATTGATTACTAATTTAATTTATGAGTCAAATATTGCAGCCACATTCTTAAAATGAAAAGTATTTCTGGAAATGCTTTTTCATTTTCACATTTTACATTTCAAATTGAATTTTGGTATGTATTTGCTGGGGTACATTTTGAAAAATAAATCTCAAGTGTATTTTTGTTTCTCATTTTAATTAAGTAAAAGGATGAGCAGTGTTAAAGAAGAAAATGAAAATGCAAACAGGATTATTGATTACTAACTTAATTTATGAGTCAAACAATGCAGCCACATTGTTAAAATGAAAATGCTTTTTCATTTGAAATATGGTAACAATTTGCTTCCAAACTTACTTAGCAAGAGAAGAAAACTTCCTTCTGGTTTTCTCTTACTCTACAGTCATGAGGAAAGTCCTGGCATTTTGAATTTCATGCATTTGTGACCATAAACATTATATACATAGACACCTCTTGGGTGGGGTCTGCCTATGCTGTGAATGAGTCACAGTGTCCGCCATGTTCAATGTGGTAAATCTGCTGTTATACACTTAATCAGAGAGACTTTAATCTCAGAATATACTTTATATTTGTAATATTTTTATTTTTGTAATATAGTTTATATTCGTATCCCTTTGTCTTCATTCTCCTGACTTTATTCTCGAAAAGAATAAAAATTATTAAAACAATCTAACCTGGCCCTATTACTCCAGGAATGAAATAGTTCTGCAAACTGTGACTGCTCTGACGTTTTTTCTCCTTAATTCTCATAAGATGATGTTTTTCTCATAATATTACCAATTTTGTCTTTTTTTTTTTTTTACTTTATTGTCCAAGGACTTTCTCATATTAGATGGGTGGGCTTTGGTTTAGGATTAATTAAATTATGAAATAATTATAAGATAATTATTTCGTAATTATCTTATAATATAAGATAATTATGAAATATATTTAATAAAATATTTATTCAATATATTAGGCATTTATTCCTAGTGTAAATACATTAAAGTTACATTTGTATAATTATTTGATAAGCTATTTATTTATTGTGTTTAGAGTTGAATTATGAAATTTTGTTTTGTACAGCTAAACATTGTGAGAGAAAAAACATGGTGCAAAAAATGCATTGATAATGTCATTTTAATGCAGACTCTGACATGATTTCGAGTTTTTGAACATCCAGCTGTCTGATGGCAGTAGGGAAGAAGCTGTTTTGGACTCTGGTGGACCTGCATTGAATGCTGTGAGGCATCTTCCCAGACGGCGGCAGGGACCATGGTGGGAGTATGAGGGATCATTGATATTGTTACGGGCTTGGGACATGCAGCGCTGGGATAAAATGTATTTCATGGAGGGAAGAAGAGCCATGAGGATCTTCTCTGCAGTTCTACCTACTCCTCTAACCTTCTTCCAGTCTGAGGTGCTGCAGCCTCCACACCACACAGTGAGACAGCTGGTCAGAATGCTCTCTATGTTGCATCTGTAGAAGGTGGTGAGGATGGGTGGGGGCAGGTGGGCTCTCCTCATCCTCCGCAGGAAGTACATGCACTTTTGTGCCCTTGTGATCAGTGAGGTGGTGTTTATAGTCCAGGGGAGGTTGTGTGTGATGTGCACCCCCAGGAATTTGGTGCTGCTAACCATCTCTACAACTGAGCTGTTGAGAAGCAGTGAAGCGTGGTTGGGCTGGTGATGATCCCCATGATTTTCTCCACATTCAGGATCAGGCTGTTGTCTCTGCACCAGTCCACAAGCTGCTCCACCTCCTCTCTGTAGTCCAGGGCCGGCGATTGCTATAGGCGAGATAGGCAATTGCCTAGGGCGACAAATGTGTTGGGGGCGCCCTCTAGCGTCGCCTTTAGGCTTACTTCCCATTAATCATAGAATTAGAAAAAAAAGCGAATTAAACCGGTAATGAAGCGTCCGTCAGTTTGACTTAACCTTACGTATATATAAATAGCAAAATATGAACAAATAAATATACCACCGTTTTTATATTTATTTTTTCACATTTAAGAGAAAATCGGAAAAGATTCTGATCACTTTTCAAGCGCCCTCCAACCCGGAAGTCGTGACGTCAGAACGGGAGCGTTCATGGCGATCTACTGCACTAAATGCGATAGCCAAAACGAGAAATCTGAAAGCAAAATTTCGACTTAAACCGAGCGATTCCTACCAGGAGACCATTCTGATGTATCGGAGGAAGAATATTTGTGTCTGGAGCCTCACATGTTCGACCCAGATGTTTCAGATGAAGAGAAGGCAGCGGACGAACAACAGCGAGTCGGACCATGAGTGGAGATTGGACGTCAACAGGTGTTATGCCCAAAAGTGCATGCCTGCCGAAATATGCATCCCCAGTCGCGGGAGCGCGCCTCGCTCTGTTGAACTGCATATCGACGAGGAAAACGGATTAAAATATGTTCAATGGAGCTTAGGTTCTCATATTAATGATATAAAAACGTTTAAGAATACCTCTCGTGGGAAAAAAGTTGTGGTTATTTGGCAGATTAATTTACAAAAGTACGGATTTTTTGAACAACATTAAATCCAAAGATTTTGACCATGGTACGGCTGATTTATTTGTTGTGGTCTCTTGTTATTTACACACAACACTAAACCGTGATAGCCGACGTGAATTTGGAGTTTGCAAAGGTTTCTCTTAAGTGGAAAATCAAACGCGCATCTACACAGCACAGCGTTCACAGACCAGTGAGATGCGTTCGCTGCGCGTCAGAAAGCTATGGTGCATTCAGGAGCATTGGAACATTTTAAACTTACAAAAATGAGGCATAAAACAGAACTGTATTTTACTAAACTGTATTGTATTTTTTTGTTTTTTTTGTTTATGCATCTCACTGGTCTGTGAACTTGATTTATTGAATATTTGTTTAATGTGTGTTAAATTTGTTAATTGTCTGAAATAAATTCATTCATTGATTCAATCCAGTTTTTTAGTTATACTTTACCTAAGTGTCCTTACAGATGGTTAAAAGTGTTTTTGCACAGTCCTAACTTTGAGTGTGTAATAAATTATTTAAAATAATAAAAAAGAAAAGGTACTGAAACCTATTCTGGTATTTGTCTATGCATCACTCCATGCTAAGTTACAGTTTTTTCTGAATGCTTAAACACAACCTTGATTCTTATAGCACAATTTCTAAAACTATTAATACTTATAGCAAATCCACTCACTGAGTTCACAAAACTAAAACTCAAAAACTCAATCTCGCCTAGGGCAACCAAAGGGCTAGAACCGGCCCTGCTGTTGTCTTTGTCACTGCCGTCTCTGATGAGGCCCACCAATGTAGTGTTGTCTGCAAATTTGACGATGTGATTGGTGTTGAACCTGGGGATGCAGTCATATGTCATCAGGATGAACAGCAGGGGGCTCAGGATGCAGCCCTGAGGGGAGCCTGTGCTTAGGGTGATGACATCAGAGGTGTTACTGTCCAACCCGGACTGACCTAGGTCTGTTGGTGAGGAAGTCTAACGGCCAATTGCAGAGGGGTGTATTGAAGTTCAGCAGTTCCAGTTTGCCCATCAGATGCTGTGGGATGAAAGCTGAACTGAAGTCCAGGAACAGTATCCGTACATGGGTACGTTTTTCTAGGTGTGCTAGGCTCAAGTGGAGATGGCGCCCTCAGTTGAGCGGTTTCGTTGGTTGGCGAACTGGAACAGATCGAATGTTGGGTGGGAGACTGGGGACGATGTGTTCTTTAGCCAGCCTTTTGAAGCATTTAATCGTGATAGGAGTCAGTGCGACAGGCCGGTAGTCGTTGAGTGCGGGGACCTGAGGCCTTTTTGGAGCATACTGGCACTGTAGATTGGTCTTGTGAGGTGTTAAAAATGTCTGTGAGGACACGAGTCAGTATTGTGGCATTTTTCACATATAGTATTTGTCTGTGATGCTCCATTCTTTTACATTTATTGATAATCATGCTTGAATTTTGGTGTTTGCTTTTAAATTGTGTTTTACTTTCTGCATTTTCTTTTCTTTTTTACGCAGTGGAACCTGGTGTGTGATGACAGCTGGAAGACTCCACTGACATCTTCTATCTACTTCTGTGGTGTTCTCACTGGCTCCTCCATTTCAGGACAGCTCTCTGACAGGTTGTGGACTTGATTTTCTTAGTTTTTGAGAGAGAGGGCTACATGATCTGATTCTTTGAATACAGAAGTGATAACAGATTAAAATGCACTCTTTCAAAAACCAAATAAATCTGCTTGATTTGATTAGCTCTCATTAGGTGATTACAAGCTCTAAATTAAACATATTTTAGGGCCTGGGTTTTTGATCTATAAAAGCATTTATCCAGCAGAAAACAACTAGATGTGCTTTTGAGTTTCAACCTTTATCGGAGAACGTTATATGTTTTTCTCTTTTATGTATATAAAGTCCTTTGAAAATAACTTACTAGATATTTAAATGGTCAAAATTTGATTCTGCTGTTAAGACGTTTTACGAAAATCAAATTCAGGAAAAGCCTGATCAGTGCATTCGTGAGATTACCATCAAGCTAAAATAATTATATTATGTGCACGTTTACTCAACCTTTAGGACCCGGCTGTCTCTCTAAGATAGACAAGACAAGATGTCCTGCTGTTAATCAATCACTAGGGTATTCAATCAGGGAACATCCAGGTCAAATTTCTGCCTGCACGACAGATCTATTAGGATGTCAGGAAGATAAGAGTGGACATCAGTAAGTCTGCATCAACCATTTTGTAGACGACTATAGTTGAATTTTGAATAAAATTCCAAAACACAATTGTAGCAATCAGGAAAATGAGAGTTCAGTCTGTAATGTTTTGGTGTAAAATGAACAAAAGCAAAAAAAAGCATCTTGTAAAGAAACTGACTATGAAGCTGTTAAGAGTGTCATTAATGAGTTATGCACAGACGTGAACCTGTAGAACACTCAGAGAGGAAGAAGAAGTAACTACAAAAGCAATATAAAATTCAAATAAAACTGTTTTGTTGCAGGAAGGACTGCTGCAATTTATAAATAAAAATTACATTATTAGAAAATAAGCTAAGGTGAAAATACTGAAGCTACATCTCAGGACAACAGCAAGCTTCTTGCCAAATTAGTAATAGTTACAAAGCATCTTAAAAGTATAGTGGAGGATTTTTGCAAATTTTTGAAAGTATCCGCCATCTCCACTTAAAAAAAAAAAAGCACATGCACAACCCTGTACCCTCTCCCGAAAGGGAACACCTATTAAACGCCGGCGATAGCATGCATGAGCCCATTTCACGCTCTGTTTAAAAGTTGCTCTTTGCATTGGTCATTCAAACTTACTTTCCAAGAGAAGATTTGCAATTTTATCACTATTTTAGACTCACAACCAGTAAGTGAAAATGCGGACAAGCACGTAGGATTGCCTTACATAAACATATCACCAGAATGACTGACAATTAGGAGGACGACCTATTTTGATGATGCACCAGGAAAAGAACATCCCCCACTATATCTTTAAAGAAAACAGCTGTCATGTTTTATATCTCAGTCCCATAAAGTATTTGGGCTTAGCTGAAAGGTGTGTGAGCAAATTAAACAGACATGAGTCATTGCCAGCTGATGTAAAGGACCAAAATCCTAAAAAACTATTATAAAATCAATGCCTCAGGATGCATTGATTGTGAGACCCAAGTAATAAAGTTGAAAAGCCAATTCTGTTCTTAAAAACAAGGAAATTGTTTGTTTTTTTGTGCTTCATTTTACATAAAATAGACCTCCTTGATCTCTTTTGCAGAAGTGAAAAAATAAAGATAAAAATGTCTACTTTCTATGTTTATAGATTAAGATAGGTAAGAGTTTTGCGTATTAATTTATTTCTAAACTGATATATTTTTCTTTTAGTGACAGTAGTCAAGTTATGACTTATGTCTTTGTTCCTCTACTACAGAATGATTCAAAATGTATAACTGTAGCAGACCGTTTCACTTTTGTTACCTTTCCATTTATTGCAAACTGTTTACTTAATTTCTTGTGTTTTTTTTGTTTTTGTCAATTACAGGTTTGGGAGAAAGATAGCGCTGTTTGGTACCTTAGCCCTGCAGGGAGTATCCAGATTCATTCAAATTTTCTCTCCAAACTGGACCGTTTTCTGTGTTTTGTATTTTATTGTGGGGATGGGTCAAATTTCAAGTTACATGGTTGCATTTGTTTTAGGTAAATCAGTTCATATTTTTTTTAATTATTCATTATGATATAAACCCAGTGTGACATAGTCTTGTTTTCATGAACTTGCTTTCAGGAGTGGAGATACTAAGCTTTCGTGCGCGAACAATTTTCTCCACGGCTGGAACAAACCTGTTTTTTTGTTTGGGCTACATGCTTCTGCCGTTGCTTGCATTCTATATCAGAGACTGGAGGACGCTAATTCTTGTATTGACGCTACCAAGTTGCCTATGTTTGCCTCTCTGGTGGTAGGTAGGTGTATGTTGACTTGTCTCTGTCCATCTTTTCGAAAGCTATCATAAGTCATTATGCTGAATGAATATGGATCCTACACTTTAGACCTCTATTTGAAATGGTTTTTGGTCGCCAGTCTGTCAGAGGGCAACACAGAGACCCACTAAGACATACAACCATGCACACACTCACACCTAAAGACAATTTGAGAAGCCAATTAACCTGTTTTTGGACTGTGGGAGGAAGGTGGAGTACCCAGAGAGAACCCTTGCATAGGGAGAAAATTCAAACTCCATCAAACTGTGCTACCCACTACACCTACTTGGATTTAAACACAAGTTATGAAATAAAAACAATCCCAATTTTTCCACCACCAAAAATCCACCATTTTTCTCAGACTCACATGTATTTCAGCTGCATTTTGCATTTCATTGACATACAAATCTGAAGATGAACTTTAGAATACATGAATGCAGTATTTGGTATTTAGCCCACATGTTTTTCACAATTAGCTTACTCCAGAGAAAATGTCAATTTTAACAGCAGGAAACTTCCAACAGAATCAACCTATGCAAGCTAGGTTCTGCCACGACTGACAGGGGATTTAGGTAATAAAGAGGCTCTGAACTACAAATACCTTATATGTTAGAGAAGGTAACAGTAAACAAGTTCCATAGGTGGCTCTGTCAAGAAGAACAAAAACATAAGCTTTAAGCTGGTTTCTAGTTCAAATAGATGAAAGAGAGCACATACCATAGCCAAAAGCTACTAGTGGGAGAGAAACAAGACTAAAAACTGAAAAACACGGCCTAGCTGTGTTAATTAAAAATGAAGTTAACAGTAGCTGCCCAGGTGTTTAGACTGAACAGGCAGATCACCTTAAGTAATTCCTTGGTTCTTACGCTTTGCAGTATTGTTTAGGTTAGTTTTCTAAATGGAGGTTTAACTGAAAAAAGGGATCATGAGTTGAATTATACTTTAAGAAATGCTGCAATGGGGGTTTTGGGTTATTCTCAGCCTTTCTAGATCTGGTCTTGGTTTAAACTTGGAAAGAAATGCCATTCTTGCTAATTAGACATAAATTACAGCTTTGTTGACATAGAATGATAAATATTGTTTGTTATTTAGTACACAGATTGAATAAAATCAACTAATGCTTTTCCAAAATAATTTTCACCCATCTTTGTTGTTGCTTTTCCCCATGTCAACTTCGATGTGTAATGTGGTAGGTTCATCCCAGAGTCTCCTCGATGGTTGCTCTCCCAGGGAAGAATAGAAGAAGCTGAGGCCATCATAAGAAATGCAGCTGAAATGAACAACATTGAGCCTCCAGCTGTCATCTTTTGCCCTTTACAGGTAAGAATATCCAAAACGGTTGAGTTAATTTGGTAGACTAAAATAGTTATCACATTTTCCAATAACCCAAATATTTTGTAAAGGCAAATATGTCTGTCTTTGGCAGAATTTCTTGTTTTCAAACAATTGCTGATGACTTTAATTGGTTAAAGCCGGGCATACACTGTATGATATTTTCAGTCGTTGTATAAAGCTACAGCTCAGACTATACTACTAAACCGCACTGTTTAAAGTTTAAAGCTCATGTATGTTCTTATACTGCACGACCCGATGCTCTGATGTGATCCACTTGCTCACAGTGCATGTCCAAACACCACACATCGGACTCAGCGCTGAGAGATGGTGCTGGTCGGACTCGTCAGTTTGGAAGAATAACTCTTCGTTTGCACATGCGCAGTGAGCGAGGTTCAGATAAATTGGCTCGTAGCTCTCGTTCAACAGCAGGATTTGCCCACAAGCACCTCATGAGGGCCGATACTTGATTTCCTTCCGACCTTATGATTCCTGATCAGCAGGTAGGCATAAGAGGCTAATCGCCCCTCGTTACCCCCTGTATACTACATGACGTAATGATGCACAATGACGCTTAAACTTGGCCCGATTCAAAAATTCTTGCATGACTGAACAATCGTCACGAAAAGGGAAAAAAAAACCTTGTACAGTGTATGCCTGGCTTAATGTGCAGAGAAAGAGTCCTTTTTAAACGATAAGTGATACATTGTGGTATCATAAATTACACTCAGTTGACTGATCTCACACATGAATACATATTACTGTTGACGTTCATTGTACTTTTAATTTTTTTTGTTGAAGCCTAATTACAAACAGTAGAATATCCCCTTCTTTCCTCAAATTTGATTCCTCACAAAAATTGCATGAATTTTAAAACAAATAGATCATACTTGAGTGTAGAATTCTACACACAAATTTGGAGGGCTGATGCCCAGACAGTTGTTGCACTGATGTGCTACGCTACAACGGTTTAATATACCAAGCAGTGCATTTGAGCACAATGTCACTACCTGATCCATCCAGGAAGCACAATCTGTCCTGCGCATGCACGAACAAATATACATCCTGGTGTCCATAAATAATGTAATTATGGTACTAAAATTACTTATTTCTATCCGTAACTCTTTAAAGAATGCTTATACATATCTTAAAAAATGTTTGCCTTTTGTGAGACAATTTTGATGCTTTTTACATTTTCTTCGTTAAACTGCTTCTCTGACATCATTGTTCATACTCAGACCAGTCTGGCATTATATGATTAAACCGTGTTTATCTGCATTTTTGTTGTTTCTTTCTTTAGATTATGCACTCTATACGATAATTTTAACATGAAAGGAAAACATAAAACTCAAAAAGACTTGATTTATGTTTAAATCCAAAGCTAAAAAAGTTAGCTCCTGGAACTAGCATAGGATCCCATTTCCGGATCAGATCAGGCTGTCATGTTGGGTATGGGGATCAAACCCAAATGCAGAACACACCACGGAGACAGGGGTAAAAAGTTCAACAGTTTATTTTGAATCACACAGAATAAATCACAGATACTGATTCTGGTCCAGGATGACTTCACAAGGGTTTCTCTGTAGAGAAGGGATAGTTAGGTTAGCCAGAGGTCTGGGGAATCTTGACACAGTCAGATACTGATCTGTACCTGGAGAGATTCAGATTGACGCAGTGAGAGAGGGAACCAGTTGGGTCCAGAGTTTAAGGGTTCAGCAGAGAGCTAGCAGCGGCAGAACTTGACTTCAGACTTGAGCTCAGACTTTGAGTGGTCAGCCAAGGTTCTCTCCTGAGAACTGGAACAGACTCAGCTTGAGGTTCTTCAGGTTTGGCTGTCAGGGCAGGGCAGGTAGGTCTAGGAAGCAGAGAAGACAAAAACAGATTAGGATCAGATTACTCCTCAGAGTACCAGCAGGCTTGGCTCAGGTTCAGCTAACCATAACTGGCAACACTCTGGCACTGAAGACAGGTCTGGCCGCTGCTTAAGTAGTTGGTCTCCTGATGAGAGGATGAGCCTCAGGTGTGCAGGTGACTCAGCTCAGGAGACCCAGGACGCCCTCTGCTGGAGAAAGGTGGCAGAACTCCAGATCCCAACAGTACCTCCCCCTCAACGAGAGGAAGTGGACGGACGGGAGTCGTTAAACTCATCTATGAATGACTGATCCAAGATGTAGGACCCCGGGACACATGTCCGGTTCTCCGGACCGTAGCCCTCCCAATCGACCAGGTACTGCCAACCGCGGCCCCGGCGACGGGAGTCTACGATTCGGCGGACTGTGAATGGTGGATGGCCATCAATGTCACCGGCGGGTGGAGGGGAGTCGGACGGAGGGCACAAAGGACTGGTACGGACAGGTCTGATCTGGGAAACGTGGAATGTGGGATGAATACGGAGGGTCGGAGGCAGGGTCAGACGAACAGCAGAGGGGTTGATGATCTGGGCTATTTTGTATGGACCTATAAATCTGGGAGACAGTTTCTTGGACATTGATTTTAATGGGATATCGCGTGTGGATAGCCATACCTCCTGGCCTGGTGTGCACTCAGGTGCGAGGCGTCTTTTCCGGTCGGCAAATCTCTTATTCTGAGTGGCAGTTCGGTTGAGTGCATCTATCGTTTCCTTCCAGATCTTATGACAGCGGCGGATGTGATGATTTACAGACTGGAGATTGAGATTTCCTTCTCGTCGGCGGGGAACAGAGGGGGTTGATAACCTATAGAGATATGAAAGGGTGACAGGCCGGTAGCAGCAGATTTCTGAGAATTATAGGCGTATTCCACCCAAGACAGGTACTGACTCCAGTCAGTCGGGTTCGTGGACGTAAGGCAACGGAGAGTGGCCTCCAACTCCTGGTTCATCCTCTACGTTTGACCGTTAGTCTGTGGATGGTAACCGGAAGTAAGAGACACCTTAGAGTTAATGGTTGAACAGAAAGCCTTCCAAACCTGGGAGATGAACTGGGGACCTCGATCAGATAATATTTCTTGTGGGATTCCATGTAGACGGAAGACATGCTTCACCAGAAGATGAGCGGTTTGAAAAGCTGTCGGCAGTTTCCTAAGGGGAACCAGATGACAGGCCTTGGAAAAGCGATCAATAATAGTTAGGACGGTTGACATACCCTTGGAAACGGGAAGACCAGTGATGAAATCCACTGCAATGTGGGACCATGGACGAGACGGAACAGGCAGAGGTTGAAGCAGGCCCGAAGGTGGTTGGTGGACCGGTTTATTCCTGGTACAAATGGGACAGACCAACACGTAGTCCTTCACGTCCCTGTGAAGGGACGGCCACCAAAAACGTCGGGTGATGAGAGCAATAGTTCGGCTGATACCTGGATGGGCAGAAAACTTAGATGCATGCATCCACTGGATGAGCCGGGATCTGACAGAAGTTGGGACATATGTTTTATTAGGAGGTCCATTTCCAGGGTCGGGTTCTGAAATCAAAGCCAGGTTAATCAAATCTGTAATTTCCCAAGAGACGGCTCCTACCGTACAGGTGGTTGGGAGAACAGGCTCAGGTACCTCAGGTTTGTCAGAAGAATACAGGCGAGAAAGTGAGTCGGGCTTGACGTTCTTGGAACCGGGTCTGTAGGATATTATTAGGTTAAACCTCGAGAAAAACAGGGACCAACGAGAATGGCGAGGATTGGATCTCTTGGCAGACTGGATGTATGACAGGTTTTTATGGTCTGTCCAAACCAGGACAGGGTGTTCAGCGCCCTCGAGCCAATGTCTCCACTCCTCCAGCGCTAGTTTTATGGCTAGTAACTCTCTGTCACCAACATCGTAATTCTGCTCTCCTGGAGAAAGTCTGCGTGAGAAAAAGGCACAAGGGTGAGTTTTTTTATCTGAGTCAGATTGTTGAGACAAGACAGCTCCTACGCCAGAGTCAGATGCATCCACCTCTAGTATAAATTGCTTAGAGGGGTCAGGTTGAATCAAAATGGGAGCACTGGAAAAAAGGGCCTTGAGTCTGTTGAAAGCCACATTGGCTTCAGCGGACCAGTGGAATGTTTTCTTTACTGAAGTCAGAGCTGTGAGAGGCTGAGCTGTTTGACTGTAGTTTCTGATGAATCGACGGTAGAAATTTGAAAACCCCAGGAATCGTTGAAGCTGTTTGCGGTTCTCGGAGGTGGGCCACTCCAAAACTGCTCTAATTTGTCTTCAGATGGCTTCACCTGCCCGCCCTCGAGCACAAACCCTAGAAAAGTGACAGAAGGTTGGTGAAACTCACATATTTCAGCTTTTACAAAAAGTTTATTTTCAAGCAGTCTCTGGAGAACTAGACGGACATGTTTCTTATGTTCAGACTGGTTCTTGGAATAGATCAGGATGTCATCAATGTATACAAAAACAAAAACGTTGAGGAAATCTCGGAGAACGTCGTTTACAAAGGCTTGAAAACAGGCTCGAGCGTTTGTCAACCCAAAAGGCATGACCAAGTATTCAAATTGGCCAATGGGTGTTTTAAATGCCGTCTTCCATTCATCTCCCTCTCTTATTCTAAGAAGATGATATGCATTTCTTAGATCAAGTTTAGTGAACACAGTAGCCCCTTGGACTGGTTCAAAGGCTGATGCTAGCAATGGCAAGGGATACTTATTTTTGATGGTTATTTGATTCAGTCCTCTGTAGTCTATACAGGGTCGAAGAGAACCATCCTTTTTTCCCTCGAAGAAAAAGCCAGCACCGAGAGGGGACGAAGACGGTCGGATGATACCGGCAGCCAGTGACTCGTCTATGTATTTCTCCATCGTCTCTCTCTCAGGTTTGGAGATATTAAACAGTCTAACGCTGGGAAGGGGAGCTCCTGGTAACAGATCAATGGCGCAGTCATATGGTCTGTGAGGTGGAAGAGACATCGCACTGACCTTGCTGAAGACTGGGGCCAAATCGTGATATTCAGATGGAACGGACGAAAGGTCAGGAGGGTCCATCTCCCCCCCAACCTCTAGGAGACTGAATAGCAGGAGCTGCAGAAC